TTTAATGACCACATCTCCCACCAAGAATTAGGGTTGTTCTTGCCAATTGCCAGCTCAGTGAGGAAGTGAATGCTAAGACAGATTTAATTGGAAGTAGTATTCATCGCTTCTTGTCCTCAACTGTGTGTATCTAGTGTTCCTGGGTGCCGTCTAATGATTGTTCTGTTCCACCCCAGAGGTGGCTGCATTTTCAGGGCAAGTGAAACAATCCCTCTCTATAGCTTGTGTCTCAATTTGTGAAGTGCTTTGGGATCCTAATAGCAAATCTGTTTTCTCATCAAGTGTGTCATTTTTGGGGGCAGGTATCCAAGAAGATGTACTCCATGGGGTGCTACGAGATTTCCCTGGGTGACACCATTGGTGTTGGGACCCCTGGGAGTATGAAGGAAATGCTCTCTGCAGTCATGAAAGAGGTACCCGTCGGGGCCCTTGCTGTTCACTGCCATGATACCTATGGGCAGGCTCTCGCCAACACCTTAGTAGCACTTCAGGTAACTGTTCCTTTACTTCAGTGAACAGTCTCTGTGGATTTTGTCTCCCCTCGTGTGCCGAGGGTCTCTCACCCTCCCCTTTCCTGTGTGTGCATGTGTAGCTATATATGCAAACCAAGAAAATCATGGTGGGTGTGAGTGAAAACTGTCACAAGTCCCGTGGTTGTGCCTCGGTTTGGTTTACACTTGGGGTTCTTCACCCAGCGGTATCCGAGTAATGGATTATGCTGGGTTCCATAGGGGCTGCAGTAACTAGACTCAACGTTCTTTGCAGTGAGCGGTATCTGAAACAAGCACTTTGGTAAGTTTGCTGCAGCCCATGCTTTGCTCACAAATTACAACAGTCAAACTGCTGTAGCGAGGGAGGTGTTACTAGCACTTTACGGCCCTGAGAATGAGTTAATAGAAGATCAGGCATATGTGCAAACTAGTACAGGACGTTTCTCTCGGAACATCATTGATATGGGCTGGTCTCGTGTCATGTGATACATGAGAGTAAAACGAGCGTGCTGGGTGCTTCACCTATCTGGGCTGCATTAGAGACCAGACGAGCGATTCTCAGGGCTGTCAGTTGCCTGGATTTGGCTGCATCTGCAGCACAGCTCACCCCTACCCAGCCAGGAGCGAGGGACTGACCGGGGCACTGTCCAGAATGCCTGTTCAGTTCTTCTAATAAAACTCTTCCCCAGGCCAGAGGATGCTTGTACCTTTGGCCCAAAGGTGGGCAGTGTTATTGCACTGATTTACAGTACGATGGGACCAGAGCCGCAGACAGTTTTACAGATGCCTGTTTTGTATTCAGATGGGGGTGAGTGTGGTCGATTCCTCAGTTGCTGGTCTCGGAGGCTGCCCGTACGCACAAGGAGCATCAGGAAATGTAGCTACAGAAGACTTAGTGTACATGCTACATGGCCTGGGGATTCATACCGTAAGTACAGCGGGCTCACAGCTGTCACGGCACTGCGTGCTCACACTGCTCTCTCTAATGGGGCTTCCATCAGGGCTCAATACATGGCTTTGAAACTTGACCTACAGACACCCTGACCGGCAGACGTAGCTTCCCTGTACTCACGTGGCTGCCACACAAATATAGTGAGGCTCTGTCTGGCTGAAAGAGCCCTTGTTGTCTGGCACGGCAAGGATAAGGGAGTGAGTTGGAATCAGTGAGCCTGGACTTGGGGCTGTTAAAGCAAACAGCCAGAAAACCCAGCCCACACTGAGCAGTAACAAGGAACGAACTTCCTACACGCCACCTTTCTACGAGTGCACGAGGGAAAGAATATGGGCCCGTCTGATCCTTGTTCCAGCTTCAAAGGTCATTGTGTCCCCTCCCCCCACCCCACTTCCTCTGGTTTTAGCCTCGCTCCTTTATGGTGCCTTTGATCTTGAGCTTCTCCCTCCCCTGCTCCTTTCCCTGCGTGCACACTAAGGAATGCATGACTTTAAATGCCGCTGTCATGGAATCATAGGATATCAGGGTTGGAAGGGACCTTAGGAGGTATCTAGTCCAACCCCCTGCTCAAAGCAGGACCAATCCCCAGACAGATTTTTACCCCAGTTCTCTAAATGGCCCCCTCAAGGATTGAGCTCACAACCCTGGGTTTAGCAGGCCAGTGCTCAAACCACTGAGCTATCCCTCCCACTAGTGATCAGTTGCCAAGAGTCTTACCAAAACAGCATAGCATTTTCCAAAGCTGTCCACCGGTCTGGAACATGGTGGCATAGTTGTGCAGCCCACCCAGCAGGTGCATGTACAAACTGTTGTATTTCTATCTCGTAAAGGGAGTGGATCTACAGAAGCTGATGGAGGCAGGTGTGTTTATCTGCAAAGCACTGAACAGAAGAACCAGTTCCAAAGTGGTTCAGGCGTCCAGCAGACTGTGACACGCATCAGTTTCTCCTCCGACAAGTCAGTGAAGAAAGCTTCAGTGAGGATCTTGAGCCTTGCCAAGTTTACATTTGCTGTCTGGGTTGTTCTTAAATATTCCCTTTTGGGCTTTGGACTTGGTGAACGGGAGACTATATATAGTAGAATCTACAAAGAAATGAAATAAACAAGAATGCTTTAGCAGACCTCCATGAACATGTTACACATCTTTAAAGAGAGGGGAGCTGGCCTCTGACAGCGCTGTCGTGAAATGGACAAACTTGTATCTGAGGAAAGAGTAAGGGACACGCCGTTGCTTTTATGCAAAGAACAGAAGGCAGTAGGCACCTCGGAAATTTCTTTGAGCTTTCTTGATGGGGGTAATGTTTTTGTTTGTTTGTTTGTTTGAGATTAACAGGGAGCTCAGAAGATGAGCCACTCAGGTTAATTACCACCTCCAGGGGATTGTCCGCATAGGACTAACACTACAGTGCACCCAGTTAGAGCACTTTCCTTGGGTCAGACTTGTGCTAGCTTCTCAGAACAGCATGGAGCAATCCTCTCCTCGCATCACAAGCAAAAGTTACGATTGAAAACGTAAGGAAGCACCTTTATTCTATACATCGGAGTGAATATCAAGGGTGTAGGTCCAGCTTTGGATCTAGCTCTGAGTATTCGGTAGTGGAGGAGGGTATGGGGTCATAAGATGCTTTTCAGTTAATTGTCAGTTGTGTTAGGGAAAGATACAGATTTTATCATCAAAAATATTAGAGTAGCAGAAATCTGGTGTGATTAAACCAGGGGGGAAGAACAACTTAGTACTAAGTGTGTGGCAGGAAATCGTATCAGGATAACTACTGTGTGAGCAGCATGCTAATGGGAGAGTGTGGAAGAAGTGCCTCATGGTTACTGCCCTGCAGAGAAAATCTAGACCGAGGTTCTCAAACTTCATTGCACCGCGACTCCCTTCTGTCAACAAAAATTACTACATGACCCCAGGATGGGGACCAAAGCCTGATCCTGCCCAAGCCCCACTGCCTCAGGTGGTGGGGCCAAAGTCTGAGCCCCAACACCCCGGGTCAGGGGGCCAAAGCCCAAGGGCTTCAGCCCCAGGCTGTAACCTGAGCCCCACCGCACAGGGTTGAAGCCCTTGGGCTTCAGCTTTGGTCCCGGATGGTGGGGTTTGCCTTTGGCCCCAGGCAGCAAGTCTTAGCCAGCCCTGCCAACCTCATTCAAATGGGGTCCCAACCCACAGTTTGAGAACCGCTGATCTAGACCAACAGGGCAAGAAGAAATTAAACAGAACTAGTGTAATTTCTGTACTTCGCTTGAATTTCTCATATCAGCTGGAATTGTCAGCCGTTCAGTTTCTACGGAACTCTGATCACTGAACAAATTATTAATTTTTCATAAAAATATGGATTATTAAAAATAGCCTGAGCCAGTTACTAATACACAAAGCTTGTATTGATGGCGGGTGGGCGTCTGTTTCATGGCTAACCTCTGCTCACTATTACGTACTTTCCACGGGGATGATCTTTACAGCACCAACATCCTTTTTGCAAAACACTGGAATCATAAATATGTTTATGTAACATCAATAAATTATATTTTAAAATGACCATGTTCAGTGCCTGTTAGTGTCCAGCTGATGTGCCAATAACAGCAGGTTAGTTTTAAAAATGCATTAAATTGTTACAGCATGGGTAATAGTGACATTGGTGCTCCTGCCCTGGAGCGGGGTTCTGTTTTAACAGCTGTCTGTCTCAATCTGTCCCTGAGACACAGGAATGGAGCATTTTGCGGGTACCACTTGGCTTTAACTCCTAGGGATGGGAGTGTTTTCATAACAGTACTGTTTGTCAGTTACTGTAGTACTGTTTCAGTTACTGTAGTACTGTTTGTCAGTTACTGTAGTACAGCATCAACCCCTTGGCAGTGAATGCCACTAGATGGCAGCATTCGGCAATCACAGCAGTAGTTGCTCTCGCTCTAGCCATAGAGCTAATGTTGGAATTCAGCAAACTCCAAGGCTGGAGAGTGGGAATAAAATCCCTCTCTGTAGCTCCATGGAAATACAAAATCTCTCGTGAACCAGCCGAGGGGTTAGGGAAAAACCTCGCTGGGGCTATTTGCTCAGGCCAGGCTGATTTGTGGTTTAGAGATTTGGGGGGGCACACTCTGGGAGTGATTGAGGTTGCTCTTTGCCCTACTCTCCTCTGACTAGTGGCTCAGATTCCGAGCTGCCAACCCTCCAGGATTGTCCTGGAGTCTCCAGGAATTAAATGATCTTTAATTAAAGATAGTCATGTGATGAAATCCCCAGGAATACTTCAACCAGAACTGGCAACCCTGCTTAGCATGCAGGGCCCAGTTCCCCAGGCTGCAATACTGCACAGGGCCCTGCCTGCTTGTGCTGCAGCCTGGGACCACAAGGGATGCAGCTGCCACCCCGTTGCAAAGGGGAGGCTGCAGAAATCCCAAGGCCAAGTCCTGGGGGCAGGGCAATGGCCTGACCCCAGTTCTGAGTGTAGTACTGCAAGTTACCACCCCCTTCGGAGGAAGGAATGGTTTCACTCCAATTTCTCTCTCTCCCTCCCCCCCCCCAATAGCCCGAGTGGTTTGGTCTAAGTCCTTTCTCTCCCTCCACAGGCAGCGATGGTCTGAGCCAGTCTAGCTCCCTACCCCGCGTCTCTCCCCGCCCCGAGCTAAGTGGTTTGATCCAGCGCTCCGCGTTTGGCTCGATTTGGCCATGTCGCGTGCCCGTACCGTGAGGGCGGGAGTGACACGTTCCCATGGGGAAGCGGCTGCGTGTCCCTGAGGCCCGGGGTGGGGCCTCTTCTCTTAAAGGGGCCGCGCCACGGGCGGGAGCCGGGAAGAGCCGAGACCGTCGCGGTGAGTGACCCTGCCGGGGACGTGGTAGCAGGACCGGGGGGGCACAGCTCGGGGGCCCCGCCAAATGGAGGGTGTCGGTTAGTGCAGAGGTTGGTGGGGGAGTGCTGGCTAGTGCAGGGGTCAGTGTGTGGGGGTGCTGGCTAGTGCAGGGGTCTGGGGGGGGGTGCTGGCTAGTGCAGGGGTCAGTGTGTGTGGGGGGGTGCTGGCTAGTGGGTGGGGGTCAGGATCCTGGCTAGTGCAGGGGTCGTGGGGGTGCTGGCTAGTGGGTGGGATCCTGGCTAGTGCAGGGGTCGGGGGGGGGCTGGCTAGTGGGTGGGGGTCAGGGATCCTGGCTAGTCAGCGTGGGGGTGACGGTTAGTGCAGGGGTCGGCCGCCCCAGTAGAGTCCGGCCCCTCCCGGAGCACCGACACCCGTGGTGAGAGAAGTGGGATCCTGGGGTGAATCCGAATCCTGCCCCTCCACATCCACCGCTGGCAGCAGGGCATGGGGGGTGGGCGCAGGGCCATGTGAGGAAGGGGCTGCCCACGCCACCCCCC